AAGGATATAGACAAGCTGGAATATGTGCAATGGAGGGCAACTCATTTGGTAAAAGGTCTGGAAACCATGCCTTATGAGGAGTGACTTAGGGAGCTGGGTATGTTTAGCTTGAAGAAACGAAGGTTAAGAGGTGATGTGATAACCATGTTTAAATTTTTGAAGAAATGTCATACTAAGGATGGAACAAACTTGTTTTCTGCTGCTCCAGAGATGAGAGCAGAACAAGCTACAAGAAAAGAGTTTCCACCTTAACATTAGGAAGAACTTTCTGATGGCAAGAGCTATTTGACAGTAGAACATGCTGCCTCTGAATAAGGTAGTCTCCTTCTGCAGAGGTTTTTAAACAGAGGCTGGATGGACATCTGTCAAGAATACTTTGATTGTGAGTTCCTGCATGTCAGGAGATTGACTGGATGGCCCTTGTGGTCCCTTCCAATTCTATGATTCTATGAATGCAGGAAGAGGAGGTTCAACAACATCTAAAGGGCTGCATAATTCCTATCCTTGCATTATCTTATTATTCATTCCATATATGAAACTTAGGCATATGGCAAGTGTCTTTTTCTTTTTGATTGAATGGCAGTACTTAACACTAGCATGTCTACTGAATGAAAGTTGTTTCCCAGAGGTTTATACATGTGATCTGGTCTACATTGTATAGCATACATGATTAATATTTTGCAATTTCACTGTATAACACTGGGCTGTTGGCTCAGCATACAATACATATCTTCATTAGCACATGACAATCATAACACCTGATTATGGGGCTTTGCATAGAATTAGAATGTCATTAGATATTCTTCCATATTATCTTTAAAGTGACAGCTTCAAATGGATAGAAAATTTCCATCTTCTGGTTGTCATTAATGTTAATCTTTGATTTTCTTCCTTGCCATTTTCCCAGTCTACTTTTGTCTTGGCAGTATAGCAATGAATTGTTGTTATTCTCCCTTGAAATGAATGATCACAGCCAGTCAGGGATAATATAAATGGGAGTAGCATGTCAACATGCTAATATAGGTGATCTGACCTGGGTGTGTGATGAAGTCAGTAAGATGACAGTTAAGAGTGAGGACTATATTTCTGATTAAGAAGATAACTGCTTACAACAATCAGAAGGAAGGAAGGAAGGGGGAGGGAGGGAGGGATTGCCTTTTTACACTGTGTAAAAATATTTGCTTATTGTATTTTTTTTAAATTCAGGGCACCTGAGGGCTCAGGGTAGAGTAGGAGACAAGACCGACATCAGATCCTTTTAAGGAACAGCCATGCAGTTAGTAGGTTGCACAATTTGCACCCTTTTGAAAGATGAGAACATGTCCTTGTTGAAAGTGGCATGCCTTTAAAATGCAAGTACACTTATTCACAATTCCAGAAAGTCAGCACTAATCCTGAAGTCAAGTCATAATGCTGATAAAGCCATAGCTAAAACAGAACGTCACTCAGTACTAGTGTATTAGCAGCAGCACTATCACCATCTTTTATGAAAAGTGTAGAGTGTGAAAAGCAATATTTTAATCCCAGAGTTTTATTAGCTCTTACACTAGGCTCTTCCAGTACTTTCTGACCGCATCCTCAGAATCAATAGTGAAATATAATTGTCATCGCCTTTCTCTCCCTGACGGCTCCCACCCTCTATCCTCTAAATGTCTTCAGGGCAGATAAGGTTTCCTAGGCATCTGTAACACAAAAGCCACAACCTGCACCTTGACCACCAGGTGGCACTGCAGTGTCAAGCATGATTAAAGGTAATTTCCACTAGAACTTTTATCTGCTTCGGTTTTCCAAAGGTTATTGCTTTAGCATTCATGCACTGATTATTTCTGTCTGTCTGTCGATCAGTTGATTGATCAATGGATCAATTAATCTTTTCATAGTCCAGAAGCGTTTATTCAGCTCTCCAGTAAAATGAAAGAATTGGAACGGCGCGTCTGAAACTTTCATTCTACGTGACATCCATCCCAGTCTCACCAATTAGTCTACAATGGATGATTCCAGAGCAATCTGGACAGTGTGTAATTGGCTTCTGCTTGGATGCAACATTAGTAGGAAGGTCACTGACCCATGAGTTACTTTAGACTGGAATTCCTTCTCTCCCCATCAAGGAAGTCTTTCACGGAAAGTCATAAGGGCGTTAAGGAAGCTGGCAAGATCTTTGCGGCTGGCTTTTATCTCCTCTGTGAATAAACAGGCAGAGGGTTTAGATTTCCTTAGCTATCAATCCAACATCTTTCACATGGCCAAAGACTTGTGTTTTATAGTAGAAGAGGCTGCTTGCATGTCACTCTTCAAAATACCCTTATGCTGCAAAAGCTGCAGTCGGTAGAACTTGGCCTAATGCTTTTTTATAGGGAGTATGTTCTACTAGACTAGAGAGCCAGTGTAGCATAGTGGTTTGAGCACTAGACTACTGACTCTGGAGACCAGGGTTCGATTCCCTGCTTGGCCATGTAAACCCACCTTGGGCAAGTCACACTCTCTCAGCCTCAGAAGATGGCAATGGCACCCTCTCTGAAGAAATCTTGCCATGAAAATCCCATGATAGATTTGCCTTAGTTGCCATAAGTCAAAAACAACTTAGTGTTGCCGTAAGTCAAACAACAACACATGTCCTACTACGGGCTGCTGAGGTTATAGTGGACAGTTAAAAAGATAAACAAATGGATCCTAGAACAGATCAAGCCTGAAATCTCCCTGGAAGCCAAGATGCACAACTCATTGGAAAAGACAATAATGCTAGGAAAGGTGGAGGGAAATAGAAAGAAAGGAAGGCTGCATGCTAAATAGATGGACTGTTAAGGAGGTCATGGATATGAATTTACCAACTCAAAAATGGTTAACAACAAGAAATGTCATACTAAGTTCAGTGCAGCTTTTTTCCCCCCAAATAATGTTTGCGAGATTTGACTTTCCACTGATGGTTTTGTGAAAAGTTAGTTTCTGTTCCATTGTGGAGGTGTGATCAGATTGTTGGACAAGGATGGGTTTGTGTGTCCTGGGTTCATGTCCTCGCTCTAGGTCAGGGGTAGGCAACCTAAGGCCTGGGGGCTGGATGTGGCCCCCCGAAGCCTTTGGACTGGCCCCAGGCCGGTCCTGCCGCCGCCGCCACCGCCGCCTGCCATGATGATATTTATTGTTGTTATTACTTGTTCTTGGGGTTTTCTTGGCAAAATCTCCACAGGGGTTTTGCCATGGCTTTTCTGGGGCTGAGGGAGTGTGCATGCATATTTTTTAATTTTTTAATTTTTTTTTAAAAATTTATTTATTTATTTATTTATTTATTTTATGGTGCTTCGGCCCCCCAATTGTCTGAGGGACAGCAACCCGGCCCCCGGCTCAAAAAAGTTGCCTATCCCTGCTCTAGGTCAAAGCTACCTGGGTGGCCTTGAGCCAATTCTTTCAGCAAGCCACACAGATAGGTTTATCACATGCCACTTTCAGGAACTGGAACTGAACAGAATGGAACGGCACGGAACATGCGAGAACACAAATTAATGCACAGGAGAATACTGCCGATGCTGCTGGGAGTCCCCAAGCCATTCCCCATCTGTGCTATGGCAGCTGATTTTGAAGAACAATTTTGAACTGTTTTTCAAAATCGGCTGCCAGGAACAGCTGGGGAATGACTTGGGGACTCCTGGCGGCATCGGTGGTGTTCTCCTGTGCAGTAACTTGCATTCTCACCCTGTTCCATGCTGTTCCGTTCTGTTCAGTTCCTGTTCCTGAAAGTACTGTGTGATAAACTAGATGAAGTGAGGATAAAAGAAAAGGACCCTGAAGGTCCTCTTGAATTCCTTGGAGAAAAGGGTGGGGGAAAAAAGTAAAAACAATGACGGCAGATTTTATTTCTATATAGCTTGAAGCTAAATTGTCACTGAACTCATTTAATACAGAGGTATTAAACAAAGCGACACAGTAGTATGCCTACCTGGAACATTATAGCTAAGTCATAAAAGGCAAGCTAATGTTATTTCCGAGAAACAGTTGGCTAGTTATGTGCCTTCGAGTAGACTCTGATGAATGGCAGGTCTATCATAAGGTTTTCTTGGCAAGTTTTATTCAGAAGAGGTTTGCCACTGCCTTCTTCTGAGGCTGAGATAGTGTGATTTGCCCAACTGGATTTTCTTGGCCGAGTGTAGGATTTACACCCGAGTTTCTTGGAATCCATGTCTAAAAACCACACTTGCTCCATGAAGCAACTGCCTATTAAATGCGACTTAAAAATCTTATCCTTGGTATTAAAATCTCCCTCTCTTTCCATCAGTGTTTACTTTCTGGACACATACACACACAGAGAAATTTAATGTGGTTTTATCAACGGAACCTACTCTCATGCAAGTTTACATAGGATTGGAGCCTAAGGATAGCAAGAGTGGACATGTGTTTTTGAATCATGTGTTTTTAAAAAATTAGTTATGAACCTAAAAAAAAAGAGGTGTGAATCTGAAGAGAGCCGACATGGTGTAGTGGCTTGAGTATTTGCCTAGGAATTTGGGAAATTAGGGTTCAAATTCCTATCAGCCAGGGAAACCCACTGGGAACCTTGGGCACGTCACACTCTCTCAGGCAATGGCAAACCTTCTCCAAACAAATCTTGCCAAGAAAACCTTGTGATATATTCCCTTTAAAGTCACCATAAGTCAGAAACAACTTGAAGGCACACAACAAAACATGAACCCAAAATGAACTGAATCCACAGTCACTGACTAGCTGAGATCATAAGAAGAGCTCTGCTGGATCTGAGCAGCTGCTTAACTGGTCCCTTTCCTTCTGCAGCTGGTATTCAAAAGTCACTTGGGCCTTTCCATACCAGTCAGGATCCATCTCTCATAGGACGTTATCACACGTGGCCACAAAG